TTTCTTAAACCATACCACAATATGATCCTTAAATACTGAATGGAAAAACATTTTTGCATTTCACACTGTAAGATATGTTATTAGTGATGTCTCATAAAATGATGTCTCGGGATGAGTCTAACATGTATTTCAAAGTAATAAATCAGGGCTCAGCAGTAACTTCTAAAAACAGTAGCAGGCTGGAGACCAGGTGTTGGCTTTTGGTTACCCGAACTGAAAATGTGGTTTGCCATTTTAAATCATCTTTTATTTGAGGAATTAAGATACCATGCAGGTATACACCAGGTTAATCATGAAAAAGTGAGTAAAAGAAGGTTTAAAAGCTTCATTATAATAACCAAACAAAATGCTTTGTAGTTTGTGTCTTTGTTTGTGTCCTTTAGTGTATGCGAGTAAACTCATCAGTGCATATGCAGAGTTGTCCGGTTCCAGTTCTGACCGTAACAGCTGTATTTAAATATCACTAATGCAACAAATATGAAAAATGTATTTATTTCAGGATGCACGTTATGCTGTTTGCTGTCCCTATGTTTTATATGTTAGAAAGTGATTGCCACTGATGGCAACCAAAGGCCAAGAATTTGTCGCCAGTTTCTAAAAATGGTTGTCAGTGTGTCCCATACTGTCAAGCCTTGTAAATTCTTAAGCCCAGTTCAGACCAATGATTCGTGACGAGACAAAACCGCTTTGCAGAGAAAAGTTGCAGCGGTGTGAACTGGCCAGTCTGAGCTCGACTCAAGCTGGCTGAAGGTGTCACCTGCAACTCAGCCTGTAGTGAAGTCTGCTGGTCAAGTCAAGATGACCACAGAAGGCGTGTTGGCAGGTGCTCCATCCTCACCGAGCCCTCTGTTTCTGTCCTTACAGCGTGCCGGTGTCGGACCGTAGGTCACTGCTGCTGCTCGCTGTGTGTGCTGTGTGTCTCATCTTGTTGCATTGGTGTGAACTGGCGGGTTTTTAGAACGTAGCAGAACGACGCGTTGCAAGTAGTTAGCTGTTTCAACTCGTCTCATCACAAATCTTTGGTCTGAACTCAACTTGTAGGTGTCACCGTATTGCAAGTGAGAACGGAGTTTCTGGTTTTGTTATTCATAACGTTGCTAACAGCATGGCTCATGACACTGAATTTGTGGTATTCATGTCTCCCCCTGGATTAATTCTAATAACTTTAATTATTCCAGGCACAGGCCCAGGGGCCCAAAGAAGAAGGGAGGGCCCCTGGCCTTCACCTGCAAAATGTTGCTCAAATTAAGACAAACGGATCAGGAAGAGATCCAAAATGACCATAAACAGATGCAAAGAAAAGCATGGAGACACAAAATACCTACCCCACTAAATTACTTCAAAGATACACAGAATCATCAAAAAAGACATAAAGTTATCTCAGACACAAAATTACCGGACAAGACACTAAAATACCTCAAAGAGACACAATTTACCTTCATAAAAGGGGCAAAACACCAATAAAGAGACACAAAATGACCAGCGACGACACAAAATTATGTGGAAAAAAAACACAAAATGACCATTAAAGACACTAAATTACCTCGAAGAGACATAAAATACTTTCATACAAGGGGCAAAACAACAATAAAGAGATAGCCTGGAAATCCAGACCCAAATCTAGAAAGATTTAGGGTCTGGCCATGACTAATGAAAATGGCCCAACTCGAGGGGCGGCACCAAGCATGCATTTGAAAATATCACTGCACGCAATTGGATAACACTACGACCAATCAGAACAATACACGGGGTGACGTATCCAGAGCGCTACCAGCGGAGCTAACTGGTAGATTAGACTCTTGCCGTATCCAGTCGACAAAACAGCAAAAATGTCCTTCTTGCAAAGTAAAGACTTGAGCGCCGTCTTCTGTTCCTCTTTTAGAGAAAAAGCCAAGTCTAACTCGTTCACTGTAGCGGCCAAAGCTGTTTCAAACAACTGGTGTTCATCCGTAGCCATCTTGCAATGTTTACTGACTGATTCCAGACTTCATCGTCACAGCGCCGTTGTCATCTGTTTAGCTCGCCTCTGGCCCGCCTATATCAGATACAGTGATGTGATTGGTGCAGCTCGGCTCCAACAGCATGGGTAACGAGCATCATTACTGATTGCCAGAGGGACTCGCTGAGCAAATTCAAATTGTGCTCTCGCAAGAACTCTGGATTTCCAGGGTAATAAAAAGACACAAAATGTCCAAGAAAGACATAAAATGATGTGAAAAAGACTCAAAATGTCCATAAAAGACACTAAATTACTTCAAAGAGACACAAAATACCTTCATAAAAGGGGCAAAACAACCTCAAATACCTCCTCCTGCAGTCAGAGTGAGGATATGTATATTTCTTAAGTTTCATTATGAGCCAATCAGTAAACGCTGCAGCCTGCAGAACTCTTTATACTGACTGGAGGTGAAAAAGTTCACTGTTTGTGTTTTGAAGCCGTCAGTCACCACTGTTGAGGAATCAACTTTGTATTTTCCCTTCAGTCTGTGATTCATTGCTTCCTGCATGATAAGAGGCTTTTCATTCAGTGGCCAAACCCAACAGCTGTGATTCATTTGGGCAAACGAGAAGAATTGATTTAGTCTTATCAGCAGGACTGGGATGCATTTCTCTGTCGTGATTTAGGCTGAGAGTACAGGTGTGTTTGGAACAAGTGGTGAAAAATGTATTTTCTTGTCATCCATTAAACTGTTAGTGACTCGGCATGTTTTTCCTCGTAGTTTCTCCTCTTTTCACTCTTGTTTTCAGGTTGTAAAGTGAAGTTTAGATTATTATATGAATGTACCTCCCCCTCACACCTGTCGCTCTAACTGTGGACTGTTTCTCCTAATATGGCCAATTCTTTTACATTTTCAATGCACCTGCTTCTTCCAAAACTCTGTTATCCATCTTTCTGTTATCCCACTGGCCTCTTCTGATCCATCTGTCGATCCAGACACATTTATCTTCCTGTCTTCTTCCTCCCACTCTGTGCTCATCCTCTCTCAGCTGCACACTGTATTTAAATTAAACAGGTTAAACCCTGTGAAAACTGACTCACCTATCAGAGTTCATTTATCCTCCTGCACTCTCCCTCCTTTGTATGTCGATTTCACATCCCACTAAACATGCAAATATGTTTTTTCATCTCTCAATTACGTGTGCCTGTCTTCTATTATTAGTGTCACTGCCTAATCTACATAAGTAATTTGCATTTTTAATGAACAATATTATACAGATTTCACCCACATATTTTATCCCGGTTTAATCGCATAATGTAAATGTAAATAACGGTTTATTTTTGGAAATGTGCGCCAGTCACATTAGTGAACTAATGTCAATTTCCTCTGTGTATCCACATGTGTTTAGCCTAGCTTGGTACAAAGACTGGAGGCAGGGACCTGCTTTATTAAGAGTGAAAACAGGACTTTCCAGCATCTCAAAGCCGTCCTGATAGACAGTCCCGTGCGCCATTGACTCATTGAGCTTTAGCATGGCATTTCAAAGTGCTGTCCATCTAGAGGTGGTGACATTTTAATGTTTTGTGATGTAGATATCTTGCCCTTTATTTTATTTTCTGTAGCTTTGCTGACAGACAGCCGGCTAGTCACATTAGCATGCAGAAAAATAGCTCCCACTGCCCGCCTTCTGGTCTCCACTGGTTAGCTTAGCCCTGGTCGCTCTGCAGCAGCGTTGCCAGGTGTACGATAATTATCATATTTGTACAATAATTTGGCCCTCTGTACGATGTACGATCAGTAATCCCAAAAAAGGCCAAATGTACGATAATTTGACCATTTCATGAATGTGTGGTTGTAATCAGTATGCCGGAGTTTTTTTGTGAGCCCTGAAGGCATCTGTTCCCATGTGACATGTTTCCAGCCAATCGCACTTTGCTTAGCGTGAGATACGGGTGACGTTTGTCTCTGAACAATGAGCACGGCTGGCTGAATGATCAGCTATACCCGCCCCACGAGGCGCTAGGACCCGTCAGGAAGTCGAGCGAGAATGAGATTCAAAACAGAAGAAGAAGAAGAGGAAAAACAGAAGCAAAGAAAATGGAATAAAAGTAAACCAAAAAACTAAACACTAGAGTGACTATATTTGCCTATAGCACATCAGTAGGATCGTTAATTTGGTTATGACAGATGTACGATAATTTTCCTCAAAATACGATAATTTTGAGTCTCTGGTACGATAATCCTACTTTTCCCACCTGGCAACGCTGCTCTGCAGGGTCTGGTGGTTATTAACCAGCAACGCCAGTCATTCCCTGATTACTGCTGGTAACGCCGTTCCACTGCTGAAACATGTTGGCCACCCTCGGGTCTCCCCCAGGCCACCTTAATGAATATGCAGCTTTATTTTGAGCTGCAAAACCAAACCTATGTTAGCACCATTAGCTGTGCTGACACTGCTGATGGTGCTAACAGAACTAACAGTTAACAGTGATCATACCGGCATGTCATTGATATTGGCCAATATCGGCTTTAAGATAAATCAGTGTAATTCATGTCTTCATCTGCTGGTGGACCATCTGCATGCATAATATGATGTTAATTCCACTATAGGAGAGACTTGATGATCACTGAAGTGAAGTGTGAAAAAAGTGGATATATAGATATCGGTTATTGGCCAAATGAGTTGTTAGGTATCAGCATATCGGACGTCTGCAAAAAAATCCAATATCGTGCATCCCCAGTAAAGGGAGTTTGTGGCTAGAATCCGCATTTTCTAGACAAGCAGTTTCTACCTTCCTCCAGTCTTCACGTGAACTTAGGCTAAAGACATTCAGGACCTACTTCGTTGCTGCAAGGGCATAACCTACCTGTTCATTTCAATTTGATTTTATTCACAAAGCCCAATATCACAAATCACAATTTGCCTCAGAGGGCTTTACAGCAAACGACATCCCTCTGTTCTTAGATCCAAAAAGTCTTGTCTTCCATTTTTTTCTCACTTCATACTTAACTTTTTCTTCTTGTCTCTCCTCTTCTCTTTCTCCTCTGCAATGCATCTAGGCGTTGAATGCATTGTGGTTTTACCTGAACCAAGGAGTCACTGGGATCCTGTCTTCGGCACCTGCGTCTTCCTCTTCTCCTTTCTCATCCCCGTCGCTATCATCAGCATCTGCTACAGCCTGATGGTCAAGCGCCTGCGCAGCGTTCGCATCCTGTCCGGCTCCAAGGAAAAGGACCGCAACCTGCGGCGCATCACCAGGATGGTCCTGGTGGTGGTGGCAGCATTCGTCGTCTGTTGGACCCCCATCCAGATCATGGTCCTGGCTCAGTCGCTGGGCTTCATCCTGAGCAGCTTGTCCACGCTGGTCCTGATGCACTTCTGCATCGCGCTGGGCTACGTCAACAGCAGCTTGAATCCCGTGCTCTACGCCTTCCTGGATGAGAACTTCAAGCGCTGCTTCCGTGAGTTCTGCAACCCGTCGCCGTTCCGCCTTGACACCCAGCAGTCGGGCAGGATGAGGAGCATCGCTAGGGAGGTGGCTGCTGCTTACAGCTGCAAGGCTGATGGCGGGGGGCCCGGAGGAGGGACGCCTAATCCAGCATGACTAGGCGTGGAGCTCCCCTTGGTGGGGGTGGACCCCCAGCAGAGGGGAGAGAACCAGGGGACAGGGAACTCCAACACAGAATTGACTCAAATAACAGCTCTCTAGCGGCACGAGCCCCCCCGCCCCCCAACTAGAAGACTGGCATGGGGTGGGGGGGAGGGTGATGAGGAGGATGGGGTTGAAAGGAAAAGAATTTAGGAATATGGATGGGGATGACAAATGTAGGGTATATGGGCAGAGGTCAGTGGGATTCATTGTAAGCTTGGGTGGTAATGATGGTGAACATCTGGGTAGGAGATGGTTCCAGTATTGGAGTGGCTCAAACCATTGTGGATCCTGGTGTTGGAATGACTCTGGCCATAACTCCATTGAGGCGGTGAGCTATTTTGGAATGTATCCGACTTGTATTGGAAGCACGTAAACACAAAAGAGGTGACAGCATTATTTGACATTTATTGCAGCTCCAAAAACAACAGCCTCACCAACAGGAACTGCATCTGCCAACTGAGGCCGGAACCCAGACGCTGCATCTCTGGAAAGATGCCTCTGTACTTGGGTATGAGAAGGCAGGGGTTGGGGCTAGACAGTTGGAGAGAGCATATAAACAGCATGGGATTAATAGAAGGAGTGCAGATACCAAAATAAAAAAAGAACACCAGGCTTTGGTGCCTGTAGAAAGATTATAAACATTAGAAACATGGACCATGGCTATCTGGCAGTCCACGGACTGAAGACTTGCCAAGGATGAGTAAAGCTTTCTGGAAGTGTGAAACAGAGAATAAACACTTTCACCACAGTTTATTGTAACTTTATCAGTTGATGTTTCAGACTAAATAACTATATGTCATAAGTGGTGGACAAAACGCCCTGTGTGTCCAGTGATCCAACTATGGGGTCTTTGTTGTGATGGTTTCTGTAAGAATCTGTTTATATGATGGTAAAATGCTGCTGAGCCCTTATAAGGACGCAAATGGGCGTACAAAGTATAATGTGATATATCAGCCTGTGGACAGAAAGTTGGATGTAGTATCTGCGAACAATAGCTGGCATGAGGAGAAGAACAACGTGCAACACGCAACTCTTGAACAATATTTCTTAAACTGTGTCTACGGGCCCAGAGCGGGTCACATGAATGTTATTTCTTGTAGGAGCAACATTTCTCAATGTGTTCTGAAGCAAAATAAGCCTGAGAAACCCGTCCTCAAACACGTTTCTTAGAGTTTTTGTGATTTTTGAATCTTTCTATGATCACCTATGGGGTGTTGGAAAATTAGAGTTTAGGGCGGGGGGTGGGGGGAGGAGCTTGTGAGATTGTAACCTGTAAGAACAGCAAAAACTCAACAAGATAATCAGTGTTTGGGACAAGCCTAGCCTGGGTGTTAACCCCTTTTCTTCTTAATGTGTTTTAGGACACAAAATGAATGACAGTGCCTGAAACGTCAATTAGTGTCCAGAGACGATAAAATTAGCAGCTCGGACTTGAAAGATTTGTAAAGGCTGTTTCAGATTGTTGGTTTGTATGATGCAATGAAAGACATCTGGAATGCAGAAATGTGTAGGATAGTTGAGCGGTTACTAGTGATGACTTTAAAATCAATCCTTGTATTCTGAAACATGCATAACAGGTGGTATTTACAAAACATCTGTGATGGTACCGTTGGACCAGACGTCTCTTGTGGACGTTAAGAATTATAGAATATATTGTAAGGAAATACACATTAACCCGATGTCAAACACTACATCACAGTTAGACCTTTAGGCCAACTTTTCCACAGTTAGTTGAAGAAAGAAAAAAGACAAAAAAAAAATGTTTGCAATCTTTATTGATGATGAGTCAGGCTGCCTCATTCAGATCTGATCCTGCTTACTGATTTTAGTTTTTATTATTAAGCCCATTTCAGATCAAAGATTTGTGACAAGACTGTTTTAGAACGTTGCAGCGGTGTGAACTGGCTGGTCTGAGCTCGACTCAACTCAACGATGGTGTCACCTGCATCTCTGCTGGTCAAATTGCTGGTGACTGGTTTTAGAACATAAAACTCGTCACCTGTTTCAACAGCCAATCAGCTTGTAGTAAAGTCTGCTGGTCAAGTCAAAATGACCACAGACGGCGTGTTCGCGTGCTGCAGCAGGTGTTTCCGTCCTCACGGTGTGCTGGTGTGAGACGATGGGTCATTGCTGCTCGCTGATTACTCACTTACTGAATAATTGGCGCTGCTTACTTATATCATTGGGGCGTAGTGATTATAAGTACAGTCCATATGATGCTCGTTAGTTTTGCACCATTTCATCACCACTATGAATGCATCTGTAGCCTTTATCTCACTATCACTATCCTCATTCATGTTTTAAGAAGCTACAAATTATATTCAGCCAAGCTGCAAATCAGAACAGAAGCACAGAGAGTTGTTGCACAGAGGTGATACACAGTTGCATTGGTGTGAACTGGGAGGATTTTAGAATGTTGCATAACGGCACATTGCAAGTAGCTGCCTGTTTCAACTCGTCTCATCATCTTTGGTCTGAAATGGGTTTTATTGTTTGAGTAAAAACAAAAAAAGAAGTGTTTAAGGAGCAGATGTTTGCTTCCATAAAAATACTAATTCTTTTCTGGCTGAAATATAACCAGAAGACAGATATTATCACATGAGCTCAATGTCCAAATCTGATTCGGCTGAAATAATTTAGCCCTGGACAGGTCGAATATAATATAATTAACTTGGAGGACAGTACCATCCGAGACATCCTGTTTAAATACTTTCAGCATGCCTGCAGCTTGTGTTTGAATTCCCTGTGACACCTCCCAAGATAATGAATCATTTTGGATAAAAGCAAATTGAACATGACAGAGGCAGCATAATCACAGATGTTTTGAAAATGGGATCTGGGAGTGCTGTGTTTTCCAGGCTGGTTCAGGAATCAGAGGTGATGGGTTCAGGGTCGGGGTGGGTTTGGGGTTTGGGAGTGTTGGTGTTGAACTCTGGGTTTGACATATTTTGAGGTTGGGACATTTCCACTGGGTGGGGTCGGGTAGGGGTGTAACGAGTGAGTTATTTCAACTCCCAGCACCACAGTGGCAAAGCAGGAGGTCGGGGTCACAGTGCTCTGACCCCACTCCAAGGGACAAAGGGGCTCTCTCTCTTCTTAGTGTCTTAAAGTGGAAATCAACGCTGAAACAGAAACCATGTCAGGTATTGTCATGTTCCTGGACAGTTTGGGAAATTATACTGACACCATTATAACCGATACAGTCCTCCAACTTCTGGACATCCCCTGGGACACTTATTTGGCACTCTGACAAGAATGACAGACATGTATATATGTTCGTAATTGAAAATGTGTCTTTTTTAAATTTGAACTTTAAATTTTCTCTATCATAGCTCAATCTAAACATTTAAAAATTAGTTTTTGTCATCCGTCCTGGAATAAAATCAGGTTCTCGTGAACAATCAGTGGAGCCTCTGTCCAGACACTTTTCTTTCTCCACTTTGGGTCTGCTGTATCTAAAAGAGAGAACAATTATATAACATTTCTGGAACCTTTGTGAAGCTTGAGGTTTCATTTTTGAAGGTACACACTTATTCCCACTGCTCTGATAGTTTTGTGTCAAAGGTTAAACTGTCCGGGCTTTATGATTAACGTGGATTCTGTTTTAGGGTTGGTGTCCCCTTTAATTTTACATTTGTGTCTCTTCATATAGTTTGTTACCTTTTTTGATTGGTTTAGATGTCTGTATTTTAAATCCAAAAGATAAAATGTGTCTCTCTTTTCACTTCTTTTTCATTCCTCCATGACAGCAGGTGAAGTCCATGTGCTGTCATGAAGGGTTGTGCATTGTTGCTGCTGGTGGTTTTGCTTTAAGTTCAAACCAGTTAGTTTGCTGCAGTTACTCTTTGCAGCACATGTGAATCTTTTTATTTTAGTGATTCTGTCTTTTTTTGTTTGAGAGGAACAATTCTATGAACTTACATTGCCTTAAATATCAAGTGAAGTCTGTTAACTGAAGCTCGCTCTCTGGCTGGATAAAATGTGTTCTAGTTTTTAACTGGTGCTTCGCTGTTAGTTTATACTCGTTCAGACCTGTATTCATAAAGCCTCTGAGGACAGGAGCCATCGGGCTGGAGAACAGTTCAGCTTTGAGTTTTACCCGGTTGGCTGTCTCTAGTCTTAAATTAAGGGTTTAATAGCTACCTATTGCTGAAACACCGGAGCCAAATCTAGTGTCATTACCTCTGTTGGCATTTTTGGGAAGTGGAAGTTTTTCTCTCTGCTTCTTTCTTAAACTTTCAAACAATTAAAGTGAGAGCTGTCACCTTGACTTACATTCGTGGCATGCAAAAGTAACGCTCACTTGCTAAAATGTAAATGCAGATGATGGATATGGAAACCAAAAATGTATCAGTAAAAAGGGGATTATATCATAGCCACAGAAAATGCTCCATTCTGTCCACTCATGTTCGTCAAATTCACCTTACAATTGCTGAAACTGACAAGATAGGCACTTTGAACAATCGGATAGTGATTTCAACTCAGCCTCTCTTTTTCCTCGTGGTAACAGGTCATTGAAAACCTAATAGAACCTCTTACTATTAGTAAACATGTTCTGGTGAGTGGGGCTTAGCTGGAGGCAAAACAACTCTCCACAGACATTAGCTAATGCAAGCTTGTGAGTTCTGTTGGCTTGTTTCAGACAATGGAGGAAGATGACGTGAGTGGTGTGTTCAGAAATACTCATTCTGGGTGTCACAGCACACTCTGGCACTAACTGGACCGTTCGTAAATTCGGAGCGCTGTACCATACAGTTCGGTTATCCAGAGCAGCGCATTCTCAGAGTGTCAAAGCGCACTGTGGACACTCTGTCTGTGGAGACGGAGCAGCAGAGCGCCGAGCGGAGTGAATGTGTGATTAACTTAACCGTTGGTTCATTCATGTAGAAATATAACGCTGCGTTTCTTCCACCAACAGGGCTCTCATTTTAGTGTAGAGCGTCAGACTGAATTTACCAACGCACCATGTCAGGTCACTCACTCTCCGGGACCTCCAGTGTTACTTGAATAAGTAAACACTGACCAACAGGACCAGACTGGCCGACCCGTATGCTCTCACTCAATGGATGGATGATGTCACAGGAAGCCAATCTTACAAAGGAGGACCACACTTGTTTGTTTTACTATGGAAGCTAATGTTAGCTAATGTGCTAAAAAGTTAGTGTTCCAGAGAAATCCAATATTCCTCTTAATCCCTCCCCAGTTTCTGATGAGGTGGACATGATAACCCTTAATACACATAACGTTATTCATCCCTACAACAGGAAATACTTTTTCCCTAACCTGATATGAAGTGTGCGCTGCACATGTGAGCATTTTTGATGATGGCCTCCGTCCAGTCCTTTGGTCTTATCACATTTAACCATAGTTGTTTTTGTTGACGGGCAGTGGCGGCTGGTTTTGAGCCATGACTCCTTCTATTCTGGCTCCCAATAACACAACAAGACAAACACATTTTAACACTCCTATGGAGCCTACAGCCCTGTGGGGGAGAGTCAGGTTTTGCCACCAGCTAACAAACTGTTGTCATCGTGACATCGGACCGAAAAGAGTCTATAACACTCTGCAGTGTCCTCCATGTGGAACATTTGGGAGCCCTTTGCCTCCAGAGGACATTATGATATAAAGTGGGATTTCTGTTGCATCTTCAGTAACGTGAGCGGAACTTTTACACCATGTGAATTTAATACCGAGAACAACAGTAAACACTGTGTTTATAGAAAGCTGTAACTAATACAGGTCGGGTGGCTGAATGTCAGATACCACAGCTATTGTGTTCTACCATTAATAACTCACCACTGGATCTCACAGTATTGATCTCAGTTCATCATCACTTTCATAGTGTTCAGTAGTATCCTAACTTTCCTTTCAGCTCACTGTTGAAGTTTTACAACTCAAAGTGAAGTGAATTAAGTTGTGAATCATGGGCCGTGGGTCGGTGGTGAGTGGGCTACTGCGTGTACAGGATCTTTAAATTGTTAAAAGAGAAGTGACCAAGGTTTTTTAATATATAGTCTGTCTTTGTGAGGCTTCTCTCTTTACCACATCAAATGTCATACATTCTCTGAGCTCTACGTCTTTGCCATGCCCCTTTCTGCCTTTCTAACCTTGATGATCCAATCCGTTCTGAGGTAGCTTTATGAATACTGGTCGTCTTTTGTACAACCTAGCAGACTTTGTGTAGGAAAAATGGCCGGAGCATCAAGGACACTGGCTTCGACGTGATTCACCTTTATGGAGACGTGCTATAACGCAGCTGTGAGGCTCTTTGTGCTTAAACGTCACTGTTAAACTGAAGACGCTACAATATTTTGTATTACTGTTTGGTGTTTTTTTTGTAGCACAAATCTACATAAAGAGGACTCCAAGAGGGCGAAATCCTTCTGTGAGACACTGCAGAGTGAGCATTATTATACTGTCTGTTAGCTCTGTATGAACATTCTGTTTGAATATTACACTTATGTAAAAGTATAAAACATGATTCTGATCATCATTTAACGTCTGACCTCTTTCTCTCGTTATTCTTGGTGTATAAATAAGATCTACTTCTCGCCAGCCGTAATGGTACGTATTGTTACCTCCGTGCATCCGAACGCAGGGAGATTCCTTTCATTCGTTTACATTTTACAGACCACATGAATGTCAAACAAAAAACTTGTTGAAAATCCAAATCTAGGAAGAAAAAAAACATTCAGTGTTGATGTTTTTGTTATTACTATTATTGCTATCAAAAGAGAAAAACAGTGTCGCATTAGTGTTTTTTTGCTGTGCGGGAGACTGTCTGGTATGTATCTATGTATTACTTGTGGACTGCATTCTGCTCACTGCCTGAGTTATGATATGAAACAGCTCTTAGGGCTCGAAAATTAAAGAAAATGTTTCTGTTGTTGCCCCACTTTT